AAAGTATAGTACAGGAAATTTTAGCATATCTTTTTTCTTTTTTTAATGGTTAAAAACATTTGAAAATTTTTGAAAAAATTAAATAGGTGTCAAAATTTTAATAAAACTTTCAGATATCTTGGTAAAAATTCAATAAAATATTAGGTTATGAAAAATATCTTTCAAATTTTTAAGATTATTGGTTAGTTAAAATTAAATAAAAAGGGCGCTCACGTTATATTCCTCAAGTAATTTTTACAGATATATCCACTAGAAAAAAATTAGATAAACTTCCGTCTGTCAGTCAAGGTGTCGTCAACACATTATCTCCATATTTTAAAAAAATGCATTTCTGCGATATTTTAAACTAGAAGTAATATTTGTTTCAAATCAGATTAATTAAACTTTAAATCAGCTAATATTCCTTAAAGTTTAAAAAAAAAAAAAAAAGTCTTATTTTTGAAAGATTTTTTAATAAAGAAAATTACATTGTGCTGACAGACGGAAACATCAGCGATGTTTAGCGATTTCAAAACAAAGACCCATTCCATTCAATTTAAATTAGTTTTGAAATACAACAAAGTATTTTGCTTGCATATTGGGAATATTAATTTAGCTTGAAATTAAAAATAAAATAAGCTTCAAGAAAGATTTTTCATTTTTAAGAATTTTAAACCTTAAGTATTGCGTTTCTATGGAGGTACTTAATTTTAAATAAAAAAAAAAAAAAAAAAAAAAATAGCTAATCAGATACAGATAAAAAAGACCCACCAAACAGCCTAAATGCTAAATTTCTTTTCTTCTATAGTGTGAGTAAAGTAAATGAACTCTGTCTCTAAAACATTCCAGTTTCTGTGGAGCATTTCAAACAAGACTATTTATGTTTGAGAAGATACAATACAATCATCCACAAAAAAAGCAACTTACAGTCAATACCTTTTTTGGTTGTAAAAATACAATTAGTTAAATTTTATGCCATAATTATTGGAAGTTTATTTATTAGTTGTGGAACTTGTGACTATGAAATTGCCAACGCCATTCAATCCACTTTTCTAACATTAAAAAAGACGAGACTAATTACAATATTACATTTAGTAGCCCTATTTTTTAAGAAAAAGATTTTTTGCAACACGTGAAAACAAACTAAAAGTAATTTTCAATTGTTATTAATTTTTAATTATGTCAACTAAAAAAAGATTTCACTTTTTAAACGCTACCAATATGATTCATTGCTTAGTAACCCTAAAAATTTCTCCATAGTACTTACTACTTGGTGAAAACAACAATTTTGTTTTTAGTGTTTAACAGTAAACACTAAAAACAAAATAATTGTTGTTAAACTGTTTAAGAGTGAATTCAGATAGCAAAACTGTTTTATTATTTTTTACTAAAAAGTTTATGTCAAAATTATTCATTACAGAAGGTTAATAAAAAAAATTAAACCGAAGCTTCTTGTAACAAAATGTTGGCCCACAACTTCAGACAAAAAAAAAAATTAATTTACTAGAAAAATATACATAAAAAAAACAACAACAACCATTAAAACAAGTCTGTCCGGGTAAGATTTAGTAAATAAAAGTAACCGACTCATTTTATGCTCAAAAAACTTAATTCCGCTACAGGACACCACCACAGTGGTATTCAAGTTTTTTTAATAATTGTAAAAAAATGTAAGTGAACTGTAAAGGTTTTCACTTTACAACTGGTTTAAAAAAGTCATAACTTCACTTAATGAGTAAAACAAACGTACAATAAAAAAAAAAGTTTTGATACTTGTTGTAACTCAAAAAAGTCCTTTTTTTTTTCTTTCTAACGGAACAAATCAATACGAAGTGAACAATCCTAAATAAAAATAAAATTCATTCTAAGAAGACGTATCCTTACATTATTCAAGCTATTAAATTGTTTGAAGAAAGGAATCGTAAATTTTTTTTTTTTGGTTAAACTGGTTAGGTACAATGAACAGGATAAGTTCAGTGTTTGCTGAAAAGCACAATTTAGATTTTTTTTTTATTACTTTTTGTTTGTTGAAGCATAAAGTTATTTTCACTTTTAATTTAAACAAACCCCGGAATCCCATTTTGTTTTATTTTTATAAAACTTTGAAAACATAAAATCACTCTACAAAAACATCTTTGAAATGAAAAAAATCCACTTTTTTTTAAACTTAAAAAAAAGAAAAAAAAAAAGGGAAATTTTTATTTCGACATTAGACATCGGGTAAAAAAGGAGGTGGATTTACTTAGGGCTCCACTGAGACACACCCCTTAAGCTAAAAAGAAATACAAAAAGTGAAGTAATTCTGAAGAGAATATATTTTGAAATAAACTGTTATAAAAAAATAAAAAAGAAGGAATAATTGGATTTTTAGTAAATGTTATCTTCAAATTATTATTGTCAACGTTTGCCCTGCATATAAAACTACACAATTTCAAACTGGTCACTACTTGCCAGTTTAATTTGTGTAGTTGTCTTTTTTCTGTATTGTCAAAAAAAAAAAAAAAATAAAATAAAATAAAAAGGTAACTAAACGGTCATTTGCGCTTAGGAGTAAATTTAAAAAAAAAAAAAAAAAAACAAATACAAAAGTAAACTCATTTTGAAACAGTGTTTTTAAACAGTTTTTGTTTTGAATAAAATGTGTTTTAAAACTATTGTTAAGTCAAGGTGGATAACTATTGAAACGTTATATATCTAAGATTTGTTTTTCGTTAATAATATGGATAAAAAAATCTATCGATCTACTTAGTCTTCTTAAATAGTAAAGTAGGAGATCTAAATGTATTTTTAGAAATGAAAGAAAATACACTTAGTTAACTTAAAAATTAAACAATAACAGCATAAAACTGGCTTTCTTTATTCAAATGCGGATTATATTGAAAATAAAAAGTGTGCAAAAAAAGTAGTATCATAAGTATGTAAGTAGGAAAAATACATTATTTTAAATTTCAAATAATGAAGATTTTCAATAAATTACAAATTAAAAATAAATGGCAAATAAAAAAAAATAAACTTAAGAACAATAATGTATGGGATAAATAAAGAGTACAGTAAAAGTTGTTTTATTTACAAAATTGCTGAAGAAGCAAAAACACATTGTTAAAGTGACGAAGTTAATATTAAAAATGAATATGAAATTTGAGATTAACCTTAAGTTATTGTTCTCAAGATAAAATGATTTTTAACTGATTGCAGGATAAACTATTTTTTACAGTAGAGTGTAGACTATTTTACGTTATTTAAAATTAAAAATAAATGATCGCATTATTAGTCCTGAAAGGGTCAATCAATACAATACAATTTTTTTATTATTTTTATTTCTACAAGAAACTAAAGTTAGAAACGTGGAAATATTGTATCATGCAATTAAATTTCTTTCAAGTCTGTAGTGTAAATTATACATTATGTACAAAAAAAAAACTAATTAATAACAATTTATAAAATTAACTTTGTATGCGCTATTGACAACAGTAACAGCACAATGTTTTCACTACAGATGTAGGCAGTGAAATAGAGACATATTTTTAATTATTAAAAATTCAAAAGGAAAAATCGAAAGAGTTGGAGGTGGTTTCTTTTAATTTAATTAATATTTTATTGACAAAAAATATTTGCCACATTATGAAGAAAATATGCGTGGGAAGTTTTGGTAACCGTTTCCAGTCTCAGATTTTGTCTAAAAATAAAAAAAAAAAGTCTTGCTAACATTTTTTTTAGTATGTGTGCGAGTATTTTTTTTTCCGAGTTAGCTTGTTAGCATAAAAAATATTTTTAAAAAAATAAATAAAACAAAAAACTGCAAAACTATTAGTTACGCGGAAGAAAAGAAATTATGGTAACTGTAACATCTGTGAATTAAAGAAACTTTGCAGTTCTCAACGTCGTAAGAAGGTGCGTAATCACGTGATCTTATCGTAAAACAGGCTGTATTCAAGCGACAGACTGAAATTTTTCTTTGTAATTTTTAAGAGTGGATTTCTGCTCTTAAAACTCGTTTGTGAATTTATTATTTTTATGATGAACTTTTTATTTTGAGACTCGCTGCCAAAACTGATTTACAATGCGAAACATCGTAAGATCACTTCAACGCTGAATAACAATAATGAATAATAATAAAAATAATAATAATAATAGATAGGAAGTGACAATCTCTGTTCAACATACTCGTTTACTCACACCTCAGGCAAAACGTCTCACAGTTCAATTAGATATCTATTTTTCTTTTACCCTTTCTTCTTAAAGAAAACAAAACATAAAAAAACGAAGGTTTCAAATGAGTATTACTCTTCTTATTCAATATTTGTGTTTGGTAATAGAAAACATTTTTTAAAATGTGAAAATTATTCAGTTTACACAAAAAAATGTTTGAAAAACTATCGAATATGGTGATTTTTATTGTTTGGTTTTTAAAAAGTAATTTTTTCCACAAATGAGCACGTGATCAAGTATCTCCTAGGCTATTCTAATTTTGAATTTCCCTACGAAGTGGTCACAATAAATGTGTTCTTCATTTTTCATGAAAACTCCTGTTTTGTGGGTGCGTGGTTTTGCGTAAAAATGTGAAATGTTTAAAACGCCTTGCGAGAGATTTATCATTGGCATACTATAAATTCTGCCCAGTATTTCATAAATAAGTTCAAAAAGCGACATGAAATAATAAGGTAATAGAAGGAGTGGTGTTAGTTTGGTAAAAGATATAAACATTAGATTAACAACCTGAGCCGGATGAATATGAGCTCTTCGACTTAAGTAAAATTAAGACTCCATGAAATCTAAAACTAAAAGGAACCAGAAAGTGCTGCCAACATGAACACTCTCAAGAACTTTAAGAGATTAAATAAATGAATCTTTACTTTATTTCATGGAAAAAGAAATCAGCCAACACCCTGACTGTACTAAAAACCAAATGACATCTCCCAAACCACCGTCGATTTCTTCCGGGGTTTTTTCGGTGTCGGCACCACCACTGTAGGGACGATCAGAGAAGAAAAATGAAGAGATAAATAACTTTGTTTACTTACCCCGGTCCCATTATCACACACTACCACTTTACGACCTTGATTGTCCATTGCAGATGATTTAGTGATTTAAAACCATCGAATTACCATCCACTTTAGCTAAGAAAAGCGTCAACCGGAAGCACACACCCCTGGCACCAACCGGGTCCCACAATGCCAAGCGATGACTCACCAAGGCCGTTAACTCTGCAAAGACTTTTGTCTGCTATAGATAGCTTTACGTTTTTTTTTCTAATGAAAGAAAAACTAAAAAGTTGGTATTAGTGAATATAATTTTTAGCTGCGTAAGGTATTTTTTTGTTTATTTTACTCGAGTTTAAAAAGGATTTTTTAAGCTAAGTAATTAATTTTATTCGTATTTTGTTAATTCAAGATATTGTTTTCCTTGAACAGAAAATATAGTTTTTAAACACTTAAAACTAAACACACACACATTGTTTACTTTAAACGGATATAACATCATTTTTTATGCATAATCAGATTCATTTTTCTTTGTGTATGTAATATATATATATATATATATATATATATATATATATATATACACAGACACATACATGCAAAATTTTTGTAAGGAATTAATGGATTTATTTTTCATCCAACATTTTTAAATACTTAAGTGAAGAAATATATATACATAGATATAGATATATATAGAGAAGTATATAAACATGACTCTATCAATATATAAGCAAAATTTTAAAGCTGAATATACATATATATATATATATATATATATATATGATTACCACTATTTTTATTTTACTTTATTTTATTCTATGCATTTTATTTTACTTATTATTATTTATTATATCAGCTCTTTTCATTATCAATTGCTTTTAGTGCCAATTTTGAAAAATATTTAGTCATAACTAGTTACACATAATTAAATTATATATATATATATATATATGAGATAACAATATATATTTTTATATTTCAAGAACAATATTGGGGAAAATCTATGACAAAGTGGAAAAAGTTTACATTTACTTGTGACATATTTTGTTCTTCAGGATTTCATAGGACTGTCACTAAATTTGTTATGTTGGTACGAGTATACATGTGCATGAACGAGGGATGCTGTGGATTTTAGAAATTTTTTTTATATCTAGCCGAATTCATTTAGAGTTTTTTTCTTCTTTTCATCACTTTTGTTAGTAGGTATCCTACACTGTGATAATAGTGGATCTGCCAGGAATGGTGAAATGTTGTAAGAGCCCAGGTACAAATTTACTGTAAATGACCTTGGAATCAAGTCACTCTCTACACATTCACATTGTAGTGAATTGTTTTCTTCTTTGATCAGGGTAGCATTTTTTATGTTAAAATTGTGGTCAGTCTTGTTATGGTGGGCAACCAACACATTTGATGTATTGTTTTGTAAAATGTCCCTTTTGTGTTCATATAACCTTTTATCTAGATTTCTTGAGGTTTCTCCTATGCATTTTTTGTGACAATTTTACAGATGATAGAGTAACTTCCTCCTTCAAGTCTTAGCCTGTTGTTTTTTTTAGTATTGACTAAGTTTTTATTGTTTTAGATTTAGTAGTAACAAATTTTATGTTGAGTTTAGATAAGTTCTTTTCAATTGTAGTTGTGATAGAGCTAGTTGGTAGGACAATATATTCTCAGCATCTCTCATTCATGCAGATGTGTAGTCGCACCAACATAACAAAGTTAGTCTAATGAAGTCCTAAACGAAAATTTTTTTCCATTTTGTCATACATTTCTCACCCAATATTGTTCTTGATATATAAAAATTTGCATATTGTTATTTCATATATATATATATATATATATATATATATATATATATATATATATATAGTATTCATCAAACAAGTTTGATTAAAAAGAAATAACAAGGTCTGTTTGTTTCATTTTTTAGAGTATTTTTCAAACTTTCAGTTAAGGTATTGAGGGCAAAATTGTGGATAAATTGTCCAAGGTTTATATTTTGTTATTCTTGTTCAAGTACTTTCGATTTTCACAGTCATTTTGCAGTCTGATGTGGTGTCTGTGTGGTAATTAGACTTCATTTGTCTGTATCCTGGTCTTCTTTGGGAAGCTGGACATTTGAAATGGTCTTGCATGGTGTTATGTATAATAACTATTAGTAACAAGGCTGCACAAAATGATTGTGATTTATTTATTTATTAATTTAAAGTTTTTTCTTTTTATTTTTTTTATTTTATTATTATAATAAAATATGTGCACACATTAATTATATCATATGCACTTTACAATACCTTCCTCTGTGGTGAATGATATTTTATTTAATGTAGGCCGTTTAACAATGATCAAAGGATATGTTTCACTGAGGCACACAGATTTCACAAAAATTAAATTAAATATTTACTGAAAGAGAATATTATCCAGATATGCCAAAGTTTCTGATGGACTCACTATTTCTTCACTAACACTGGATGGGGGTTCCCAACTTTTTTTGGCCATGCCTCACACGAGTATCTGTAAAATCATGATGCACTTACTCCATGACATATAATTCTTATTATTCAAAACATGAACCCCTATTCCCATATGGAAGCCTAAAAGGCCATTAATATAACTTTCTTTAAGAGCTTGAGACTATATATATGCAATATTATTATCATATATTTATAAAAATATTGTGTTACTAATATAAATATATATATTATATACAGTATATACATAATTACACATGTACATACATGTATATTTATGTATACATATTGTATATGCACCATATGTATTGACTCACACACACACACACACACACTCATACTCACAAGAAAAAATTCACTGTTAATAACTCATTCTTGAATTGCCCCCTTAAAAATCAAAATCAATTTTCCCTTATGTGGGGTGTGCGCCTCATTTTGGAACCAAACATCTAAACCCAGGTCGATAACAATATATTCTAAAGTTATTAATAGGTATGCAATAGGATGTTTATCCTCTGTCTTCAAAAAATCACTTAGAATACTATTTTCTTGATAATAGATTTGTGTAATGCATATAGCTACATGCCAATTACTGTTTTGAAGACTAATGGCTTTCAAAGCCCTCTTAATAGGATCAGAGTGTAGCTTCTGTTTCAATAGACTAGTAAACTAATATCATCTTTCAGAGAGTCATTGACAAATTTATTTCTGTTTTTTTTAATGGCATCTACCTTCAGGATGAAGGCAGTCATTACTCTCTAAAGATTTTGTTTCTTTACTATCTGTGAATTGCCATGAATTTGTGGTAATCCTGTTGTAGATATTCTTTGTTATGTTTATCGGAAACATAGGACTCAAAATGAACTTTTTATTTATTTGCTTTAGAGTAAGTCCTTTTAGTATTTGGTGTAGCAAAATGTTTGTTTATAAGGTTGATATTGGTCACAGTCTGGAGAAATGTCCGTTTCAATTCAGTAGTGGTAGTTTTGAAGTCAGACCATGCTAGTGATAATAGTAATAGGAGAAATAGGTCAGTGTCAATCTACTGTGTTTTTCTCAGTCCTCAGATGGGCAGAAAATATCATTAGCAAATGACCTCTTAACTAATTCACATGTCACCCATGGCTGGTATCTCTGCAGTAGTATATTTTGTTCTGTCCTCCCTCTTCTAACTCAGAGGTATGAGCTTATATCCTTTTGACCAGGCTCCAAGACTGGTGCAAACCTTGGTTTTGGCTAACATCAAAAGTCTCTTTGTGTTAATTTTTTCTGATTGACCAAAATTATTTTATTTTCCTACATTCCCTTTTTCTCATTTTTTTTATAACAGAAGTTATGTGTGGAGCCTCCCTGATTTTTGTTAGTTTCCAGTCACAAATTAGTCATCTCTGTTCCTGCAAACTTCCAGCGATTTTCAGCTGGATTCAATCTTTTCTTCTTCTATCTCTTTTTATTTGAGGGCTGCCTTTTTGTTAGTTGAGAGAGAAGTTTAGATAGAGAGTGAAAGAAAGGTATAAGGGCTTTAAAGGAAAGTGTTAATGTCTTATTTTAATTTGAATTCTTTTTATTTTTGTTTATATATTTTATTTTTATTTTTATCAGGACTCACTGCAAATTCTTTGGAAGGATAGTAGAACACTTTCCTATTGCCTTCTCTATGGCTTAGTTCACAGTAGTCCTTCTCCTAGACTGGCTGTCACCCAAGGCTCAAGAGCTCTGCTATTTAATTCATAATTGAGGGTTATTTCTGACAGTATAGAGAATAAAATCTATGCTTACATAGACAACATCATAATTTGTGAACTCACCCAAGGTGAACATGAAAATTTAACTAAATTCATAAAAGCTGCTAAAAGTTTTGTCATGCTCTTCAATAAAGAAAAATGCCAAATCCCACTGAAAGAAGTAAGTTTCCTTCATCACATAATCAAAATATTATGTTCTTCCCAAATCCAAGAAGGGTTTGCAGTTGGTATGCTGGCCTGCAAACAGATATTAAATGATAGACCACAACAACAAACAAAATGAAGACTTGAGTAAAAAAAATACATAGCCAAGTTTATTTTTGTTAAAGAAAATACATCAACAAAAATAAGTTTATATTGCAGTCAGAAAAAATATCTTTGCATGTTCATCTAGAGAGTGAGAAGAGTATTGTTTATTGCGTATCGTTGCTGCTGTAGATTGGTAGAAGCATCAACCAATGGCAAGCTTCAGATGATGATAGCTGGCTGGAACTGCTGCTGATGGCTGGATACCACACTTTGATCCTCATCATTATTTTCTTTAATGCTTTGAGGCTTTTTTATATCCTGGATCAGTTTTACAATGATCACTGGTTAAGCTTTTTCTTCCAGTTGCTTTAAAAAAAAATGTGGGACTGCCAACAGGATACAACAAAGTTATACTGCTTTAAAAAAATTCAAAACACCAGCTGCTATCATTAATCCAGCAATCAGTAATTTGGTTCAATTAGTAATCCATTACTAATTTCAATGAGATCACTGCATGGGTTTGCTACTCATGTCTGGTGTGTATCAGTTGTTTATGAGCACTTTCAAACACTGGTATGGTATTTTTACTTGTCTTTTGGGCATTTTTACTAGAACATGCTGACATTTA